TCGAGCATCAGGATATTTGCATAGCCTCAGTCTGTCTTCCTTCTATGCTAGCTGGTTTTTGTTTGTGTTGGTGGTGTTTTGACACATACCCTGTTACCTTGGTTTGCCTGGAGCTCACTATTTGCCCTTTCTGAAACTGAACTTGTGATCTTCCTATGTCAGTCTCCCGAGCACTAAGATTACAGTCATATGTCTCTGGCACATATATAGTAATAGCTTTAATGAATATCTTCCAGGATATGGAGTTCTATGAGTGGGGCTGGACACTCATAACTAAGACTCATAACCAAGAGAGTATGAAAAGTAAAAACACAAGTAAATTTATAGTAGAGAAACCTGACAAACACTACCCTCACCAATTAATCAGAGTTAACATGACCAGACATGCTCCCAGAGAAGATAAAAGCAAATCTATAACTGTCTAACTTGTTCGCTTCAAAAATACCAAGGAAAATCTGTGAAACCACCATAGATTGGAAAAGATTAATGTGATGTGCTAGTTAAATGCAATATGGTTTTCTGGATAGGGGTCTTAGTGTAGAGAAACTATAAAGCCTTTACTTCTATTGTTTTGTACAATGTCAATTTGTTAGAATTGATAAATGTAATAAATAAAATATAAGCACTAGAAGAGAGTGGCTAAAGGAAATACAGCAGTTCTACTATATAATTTTTCTGTTAATCTAAAATTACTTAGAAATTACAAGTTAATCTCAGCACTTGGGAGATGGAGGCAGGAGGAACTTGAATTTGAGGCCAGCCTGGGCTACATAAGAGAGACTGTCTCAGAAAACCAATCAATACATACATACATACATACATACATATGCACACACATACTTGCATACATACACATATATACATACAAACAATATACATAAAAGCAAAAAGAATGAAAGTTAAACAGGAAAAGAAAGCATCCCCAGAGTAGACTGCCAGAGTAGGCAAAGGTGTGTTTCTGTCCCTCGATGTGGAAGTGCAGTAGTAAATGCTCCTGTCTGCTTCTTGCATGTGCTAGGTCCAGTTCCCCTGCCAGTCTCCTCACCCAGATCATTGGCCTACTTAAACAACATTAAGTTGATATTGCATGTGGGGTATTTCAATATAAAATACAGTGTTGTTTAGCTTATTTCAAAAGCTATAAAACTTCCATTAATTCAATGTAATTATGGGTACAGATGTGAAATACTGATTTGTAAATACCTTATTCTTTTTACACTGAAGCTCTCATTAACTCAACAGTTGATTATAGAAGACCAAATAGTGTTCTGTTTTACTAAATAATAATATGTAATAGGCTGGGATGATTATTGTCAAATTAACAAACTAGAATATGGATATTGAAATTACATTTCTCCACTGTATGCCCAATATTCTTTCAGTCTGTCCATTAGTAAAAATTGTTTTTAGCTTGTGCACATATAGGACATATGCTCTTTTTATCAGATAAATATATTTTGCCATCTAACCAAATGAATACTTTGGAATATAACTGGTGTGATAAGTAAAGAATATGTTCAGAACAGCTTCTCAGTGTTATTGCTTGTCCAAACCACTACAATAGACCATTAATAATACTACTTAATTGTTGTACTCAGATAGAGCAACACATCATGTATAACAATTCTGAAACTGAGAACCCAAGAATGATGAGCTATGTGATAAAGACTTACCATAATTGCTATCCAGTGAAAGTACAGACTGAACATTGTTGACTAGCAAGCAAGCATATTCTTGTAAGATGCATATGATAAAATTTTCTTGACAGCTGTACTCAAAGTGTACCTTTTCATGTCAGCATAATTCCTTTAGTGGTTTTACTTTGAAACTTAAAAAATCGAGTTAAGTTTCCTTCAAATAGAAGTCAATCATATAAACAGATAGGACAGTTGGTGTGATTATTGATAAGAAGACTAGAAGACTCTCTCTTTTTTTGGGGGGGGGTCCGGTCGTGGGGCCTGAACTCTGGGCCTGGGCGCTGTCCCTTAGCTCTTCAGCTCAAGGCTAGCATTCTACCACAGCGCCACTTCCGGCTTTTTTCATTTTGCTTATGTGGTGCTGAGGAATCGAACCCAGGGCCTCGTGCATGCAAGGCAAGCACTCTACCACTGAGCCACCTTTCTAGCCCAAGAAGACTCTCTCTTAAACTCCCAATGTGATTTTTTTTTCAGTAATAGAAAAACAATTCTAGAATATATATGGAAAATCACAGGACCCAAAATAGTTAAGAAAGAATAAGGTTGGAGGTCTCCTGATTTGAAAACATACTATAAAAGAGTAATAACTTAGATAACATACTTAATTACTGGTGTGGAGGCAGACCAGATAGATTATAGAAACTGACAACGATTATCTGAAACCAAACACTAGACAGCTGAGAGTGATGGTACACTTTGGGAGACTGAAGTAGGTGGATGGTGAACTTGAGGTCATCCAGGTTTAAAAAAAAAAAAAGTTTGTCTCTTAAAACAACATAGAAAGGACAGATAGACCAAGGAAAGAGAGTAGAAAATCCAGAAAGATGTCTTCACATATACTGCCAAGTGATTCTTTTCACAGATTATCAGGATGACACAATAAGGAAGAATAGTTTCTTCAATAAATGATTATTGGGAACCTGGATATCCACATGCAAAAAATAAGTTTGGATCTTAATCTTATATAATAAATTGACTCAAAGGTACCTTAAAAATGGAAACCTAACAATGCAGATCTGTACACAATAACCTAAGACCATGAACTTTTGAACTGGGAAGAAAAGTGAGCATAGGGAGAAATTAAAGGACATAAGATTTGACAACAACTTCTTTGATATGACACCAAAATCATAGGCAACAGATTAAAAATAAAAGGATTACAGCAGACTTTATAAGTTCTCATCAAACAATCAACAAAATTTTAAAAAGCAACCTGTAAAATGGGGGAAAAAAGTATTGTAAATCTTAGGTCTGATAAGATGGTAATACCTGGGATGGGTAATAAATGTCTACAACTTAGGGAAAAAAAGCTAGGTTCTGATGGCTCATGCTTGTAATCTTAGCTACTCAGGAGGCTGAGATCTGAGGATCTCAGTTTGAGGCCAGCCTGGGTAGGAAAGTCTTGTGAGATCCTTACCTCCAGTTACACACACAGAGTCAGAAGTAGAGCTGTGGATCAAGTGGTAGAGTGCTAGCCTTGAGCAAAAAAGCTCAGGGACAATGCTCAGGCCCTGAGTTCAGCACCAATAAAAGAAGGAACTCCTGTCTCATACTGCAGCATAAATGAACCTCAAGAACATTATATTGAGTGAAGTAGACTGGTCACAAAAGGACAACTACTATATGATTCTTCTCATTTTTGAAGTATCTAATTTAGTCAAAAGTCATTAAAACAAAATAGAAAAGTGGGTTAGCAAGGCCTAGGTCAAGGTGGCACCTGATATTTAGTGGCTAAAGAGTTGTGGTGTTACAAGATGAAAAAAATATCTAGAGATCTGTTGTACAACAATGCAAATATGCCTAACAGGGCTGAACTATACAGCTAAAAATGGTTAAGATGATAAAATTCTTTTTACCCTGGCTTAGGATATGTTTCATTGCTTAGTTTTATATTGACTTACCAATTTTACTGATTACTGTGAGCCAGAAACTTTGATTTATTATCCTTCTACTGACCCAGCAAATTGAGACATCCATTGCCTATTTCAGAAATTAAGAAATGGAGACTTTGAAAGATTTGCAAATTTATTTCTGTTAATACTTTCCATATAGCATAACTCCCACAGTGGCTACCTCATTGAATAAGTTGCCCATTGTTTGGATATAAAGAAGGAATTGGAAGAGAAAGAGAGTCCCTCTGATAAGTATGTAAGGCAGAATGGTTGAGACTAGACTGATGATTCTTTGCTAAGTGGGCTGTACGTTAGCAGGGAGGTCTATTCTAGGGCCACTGGAGATATTGGACCTGTAGATTTGGTAAAAATGTAAATCATCAAGATGAATATCATACTCATTAAAGAAAAAGGAATACGGTTTGAAAGTTTTTATGAAGCGATGTACTGCCTAATCTTGAATTGAAAGCATCTTTTAAAAATGCACATCTCTTCATATTCCTAGGTGGTAGTGAATATGTGGGTAGGAAAATGAGTGTTTCAAATAATGCTAATGAAGTTAAATGATTGCAATCTACCATATATTGTGAGGCAAAGTTGTTAGCTGTGAAAGACGAGGACAGAATTAAAATATTACCATGACTGGCATTTGATTTGAAAACTGCGAAGATAAGCTTGGGGTCCTTTTTATGAAAACTATCCTCATAGCCCAATAGAATATCTTTTAAAAGGTTCTGTGGTTTCCATGGATACTCGGAGCTTTGATAAAGTTGTAATCCATATTCAATCATCCAAGGCAAAGAAGCCTACCAACTGAAGTCAAAAGTTGTCTCATCTCTAAATTCATAGTTTGGGACGTAGAAAGGGTAAGTAGAGTAAAGATTAGAATCCTGGGTAATTACACTGATTGAAAGCAAAATATTTAGGAGACATGTTGCCTGGATTTGAGCCTAGTGTTTACTCCTTAGGTACAATTTTTTTTTGTCTGAGTGTAAGAAAGAGGATTGCTTAGGTTTTGACATAGGAGTTTAGGATGGTGAGATCTTCTGAAAGTTGAAACCTGGGCAATATCCTCAATTGCTGAAAGCCAGAAAGACAGAGGCACTGTTGGAGGCATTGGTCTCCATGGTAACATATTTGCATTTGGCCCAGCAGTGGCTGCTTTCTGCTTAGCTTCTTTTAATTGCTATATATTGACAGCCATTTTCACAACTGCAAAATGTCAGGTAAACAAATGTGCACGGGAGTATATATCATGTCTGTAGGCTTGATCCCATGCTCCGGATGACACACAGCTCTGAAGGAAGAGTCGCCTAGGTGGCTTGGGTATTTCCTAATGTGTCTGTCACATAGTGGAAGCAAAAACCGTTCAAATGACTTAAATATTTTGCTCAATTCTCTTTTAAAACAGGTGACAAAAGAGCTCAAACAATATGACAACAAAATTATAGAATGCAAATTTGAGAACAACAGCTGGGTCTTTATGAGACAGAGAACAGACAAAAGTTTTCCTAATGCCTACAACACAGCCATGGGTGAGTAGGACAATGTAATAATGATTGTGGCATTGTACACCAGAAGTTACAGTGCTGGACCCCAAATGTGCTGCCTGTGCTGCTCTGCCTGATGGAACAAAGTGATTTGGACCCCACCCTTGTTGATAGAAATGATTTCCTGTCAGGTCTGAACCCTGTTTGGCTCCAGCCAGTTTACATTCTCCCCTCTTAAGGTGGTAGGCGGGTGCTAGGCACATAAAAGAGAGTGTTAAAGAGCAGAGCGCTGGGCTATGTACAAGTTGCATTTATTGAACAACAAAACAGAAGCCAGGATCATTTCAGATCTATTCAAAACCATAAAAACCATTGTTTGCCAGATGGTTTAAAAAAAATTAGCAGGGAAAATGTAATTTCCAGCTTCCAAAATAGCTTACAAACAATGGAGAACAAAGTAAATGAAAACCATTTTAAAAACACAAAAATTGCTATGCTATCCTTCAGAGTAATCTTTGGGTACAAGTGGAATGCTTTGAGAATACAGAGCAGTTAAGTTTTTTCATGATGAACAATGCAAATTGACTGAAGTTTATAAGCTGTACTACTGGGAGTACCAATTGATGCATTTTTAGTGGGCCTGGAAACAGGTAAAAGACAAAATGAAGATTAAGAGAGAAAGTGAAGTGGAGGTGTGACTCAAGTGGAAGAACATCAGCCTTAAGCAATAAAGGAAGAGTGCAAGATCTTAAGTTCAAGCCCCAGTACCGCCGTGCACACACACACACACACACACAAGTAATAGAATTACGTATTTTTAGAGTGTTTCAGTTAGTGATGATGATACAATAAGCTTGTGAGAAAATTTAGAAAGGGCCAATTCAAGTTTTTCAGCTTAAAAGTTTACTGTTGTACACTTAGTGGTTCTTATTGAGAGGAACATCTGTGCTTGGACAAGATGAGTTTATCTCAAAAGTAGGAATGATAAAGCCTGTGTGTGTGTGTGTGTGTGTGTGTGTGTGTGTGTGTGTGTATGTGTGTTTCTTCCCAAAATCGAATAAATGAGGAGGATTGGTTCTAAATTTCCTATTTTTTCTTTCTTTCTCTTTTTCTTTTTCTTCTTCTTTTTCTTTTTTGTTTTCGTTTTCTTTTTCTTTGTCTAAGACTGGGACTTGAATTTGATATCTGACACTTTTGCTCATTGTCTGGCACTCTACCACCTGAGCCACGCCTCCAGCTTCCTAAATTTTGATTGCTCAGGAAATGCTTTATTTCTTCTTAGGAAATTTTATTGTATGTATGTCTGACTATAAAGGTAAGTCATGGAAGTAAAGTGGCACACACCGCCTGCTGCAGGAGCAAGGCCAGTGCTGGGCAGGCATTGCACTTCTGAGAGCAGGTTGTAGTTGGACATGGACTCCAGTGTAGACCAGTGCACTCTTCTAGATCCTAGAAAAAGCTGTGGAGTAGAAAACTGTATTGGAGACACATTATTACCCAAGTATTTAAAAGTCTGGTTTACAATTCTGCAGTCCAGAGTAGCCACAAAAAAAGCACTTGCCTTGGGGAAGGGAGGAGATCAGTTTGAGAAGAAGCCTGTCATGTAGTGGCACAGTTAGCATACCAGCATAGGAACCATCTCCTAGCCTGTGCTGAGTCACGTGTCCTCGTTAGCTCTCACATGTGGTGCTTCCTTTGTCCACAGCTGTGTGCAACAGTATCTCAAACCCTGTCACCAAGGAGATGCTGTTTGAGTTTATTGACAGATGTGCCGCTGCTTCCCAAGGACAGAAGCGAAAGCATCACCTGGACCCTGACACAGAGCTCATGCCACCGCCGCCCCCCAAAAGGCCGTGCCCCTCAACCTAAGCCCTGCCTCTGACTCAGTCTCACAAGGAAAGATAAGTGAGGAAAATGCTGTCACCCCCCCCCCTTTTTTTTTTACAGCCAGAGAAATGGAAAGACAAGTGTGACCTGATGCTGATAGACGTTTGAATTTTGTTTTAAAGGAAGGTGCTGTGGCCAGCCTGTGTACATTTGGTGCATTTGTTCCCTCAGTGCTACAGTACATCATGGACTTAAACACTTAGTTACATCTGATCAACTCAGCCTTACTTTGTGGAATATGAAGCTTGAAATATCCAAAGTTTTAAATGAGATTGAAATCAATGAAAGAGAGGCCTTTTTTACAGATGAATAGCCTTTACCTTTAATTTGTAAAGTTAAAAATCTGGAGCTGTGAGCACATAAAACATTGTACTTTCAATAGTTGGATTTCAAATTTGGCAGACTGTCAAAATTTGAGAATTTTGTCAATGGTATTAGAAGTTCTTGCTATCAGTTATCATGATTTTTCTTAACACTTCTGATATTCCTGTATTAAAACCAGTGACAAGGTTATAAAGTATTGTGTGAATTTAAACACAGTGCTTAGTCTGGTTTTTATCATTTTAAGAATTTGTTTTCAAATGTAAAAGTAAAAAGAGAGTAAAGCTTCATTTTTGTGACTTGCATAGTTTCTTTTAAGAAGTACATTATGTGTCGAATGTTTGGCCTGTAGCATCAGATATCCAGTGGGTCCACTTTGGTGAAGGTTTTGAGTTACATTACGGAACTTGAGTCTACATCACCATGTTACCGTGTGTCCTCCTGTAGACTTGCCTTCTTTCAAGTGCTAGGGCTACCTCTGATTTACCTCGTTGGTGTCAGCACATGGTAATTAGATTAAAATACACAACTCACCGTGGTATGTGAGAGAGATATCAAATACAAACAATGTCCCATTAGTTTCATTGGACAAAACAGCAGAGGAAATGCTAGGGACTCCTTTGATTCGAAGATAATGTCAGAGGACTAGAATATGGTCACTAGAACATGCTCTCGCGCTGCCAGATAAACGCAGAGGCAAAGGCAGAGACATTTGTAGGAGCAAAACATCAAGGAAATCAAGACATTTACTTTCAAAGCCAGAATTCTATCTATATACTATTTTAGGGATGTTATTTCAGTAATACATCTGAATTTCAACATGTTCACTGATAGATAATGGGTATAAAGGGCAGCTAATTGGCCATCTGCCATTATTAAGAAACTATGTCCTGATTGGTTTGTGAAGGAACAGAATTAGCTAACTAAAGGCTAATGTATTTATTTTTAGAGGTACAGGTTTTAAGTATATGTATTTAAAACAAATTTTCATGATCTGAATTTTATATATGTATATGCATATATCTGTAAGTATATGCAACAGTGTATATTCTTCTACTGCTTCAGCCAGACATGAAAACCCACAAGTTACCTAGAAGACTGAAAACCTGACAGGATTTCTATGTCATAGCACAGATAAACCAAAAATGTATTTATATGCACCTGAGTTTTAATGTTTTTAAACAAAGTTTTCTCCTGCAGTACTTTTCTATAAGAAATACTAGAATTGTGCTTGGGCTTTTTTTTCTTTTTCTTTTTGGTTTGTTGGTCCCAAGTTATGTAATGTATAATGAATCTATCCAAAATGCTATTTTAATGCTTTTTTTTTTCCTAGAGTGCTTTTGTACATTTGGGAATTAAAAGAGGTCAGACACCTGTCTGCCACACTGACAGTTGAAAGGGGAAATTCCCAAGGTTCCATCTGTCTTTTTACAAAGTGAATCTAAAACATGAAAATGCCTATGCAACTCCAAATAGTCCCCACGCAGGCTCAGCTACTCTTTTGTTGGTGTATTCTCGCTTCCAAGCCTGAGCAAAGGCAGAGCCCTTTTGCAGATACACAAGGGAGCTCTGCCAGTGATCTCTTAATAGAGTTAGAATGTTTATGGTAATCGTAACCTTTGAAATGAGTTATGTGGAAAGAGCATCTCAGTTTTAATACACCCAGGTATTGTCTCCTGTCCTTTCTCATTTTAGCAGGACTTAATGTTCTTAAGTTATCCTTTCTTTCTGTTCCAGTGAAATGTAATCGGTGGTGTTAGAAGTAGATCTCAGCCCCCAACACATTGCCATCTGCAGTATCATAGCAAGTCATGTGGACAGTCGGGCGATTGGGGGAGGGGGGCAGAGGAGGCAGAGAGGCAGGACTTGAACATCATAAAGAAAACCCTTCCCTCCACTTACCACACGATGGCTGTTTCTAAGACTATAAAGCTTTTTTTAAAAAAAATAAAAGTAAGAAAACTTTGCTCTCCTGAGTTATATGTAAAAAGCTTTTGCTTTTTGTTTAGAAAGAGTGTGGATGACTCCTGCCTGGATGGTTAGTTACATTTGCTTTCTGTGAAATGCTCCGAAATGTCAGAACATTCCTTCTAATTGTGTGTCAGTGTGCATTGTAATAAAACTACTGGTTCAAAACATCCGTGCTGTCTGCTTTGTTTCGCCAGCAGGGCTTTTGTGTCCCTTGCGTTGCTAGCATCAGCTCCTGCTACTCAGCCACACCCAGCGTAGTCCATCTGGTTTTGTTTCATATGAGAGAGAGAGGTGCAAACCTATTTATCTTCCAGAGAACCTGAGAAATTTGATTGACATGGGGGGAGGGTGTTTAAACTTTATTTTCGAGGTCTAGGCTTAACTTTATGATGTTCATATTTTTGTTCCTCTATCTTAGCAGTCTACTATATGAATATTCTGTTAAACTGCTTTAATGTACTTAATTATTTTAGACTTCTCTCTCGCAGCAAATATCCTGAAATGATGAAGTAATGGCCTACCAAATGTTCTGTTGGCTATGTAAGTTTTTACATGGAATTTGCCATCTTGGAACAAGGCATATAGTATTTCCTGGCCAAAGTCAACAGAGCCAAATACTCTCAAATGAAAAATATGATGTTACAGAGAATTCCCTGGCCTAGATAGACCCAGAAATAAATGTGGGCTCTGGTTCAGTGTTCTCTCATTAGAGCCCTTTGTCCCCTGTTTTTCTGTCTATAGAATGGCAATACTGATGATAGCCAGGTGATCAACATTTCTAGTTTTTTGCCATGACTCGGGTACAAACCAATAATACTTTGTAAATCTCCATTACCATAATAACAGTATTCCTATGATGGAATATTTGCCAAGAACTAAGACTGTCCCAAATACAGGTGTTTTGTGTAGGTAAGTGCCATTACAAAACAGTTTTTAGATACTGAGTTGTGAGCTGAAACTCATGGTGGTCTCCTAAATGCTGCTTTTTGGGGAGAAGGTTGCTCTTCTGAACTATTTAATAGATTTCTTAGGGGCTGACAGTGAAAGGCTTTGCATACCTCCCTCTACTTAAAGATTAAGATGAGAGAAGGGAAATCTGTATATTTTTAGGGCTTTATTTGACTGTTGAACTAAATATGAGTGACTAAGCCACCTTGAAGGGAAGCTTTTTCTCTTTAAGATGCAAAATTCCAACAGTAATTAGGAAGCAGTAAGTGATTAAATCACACACTGGGCCAGCATTTTCTTGACTGGCATAGTTAGCTGTCAAGTCTGACACTTTGGCAGGTCATCAGCGGCCTTGGCTAACCTGGATGTGTCATTTCTCCCTCCTCCCCCTTGCCCCCCACTCCCCCACCAACCAATATCTGGGTGACTATTGTTCTGAGCAACACAGGATTCCAAGCAAGGACCACATGGACTACATGGATGGGATTTGGGTTGCCAACATTCTTTTCTTGGAAAGGGTGTGTGTGTGTATGTGTGTGTGTAGATACTGGGGCTTGAACTCAAGGCCTGGATTCTATGCCTGAGCTTTTTGCTCAAGGCTAGCGCTCTACCACTTGAGCCACCCTCCACTTCCAGTTTTTGTGGAGATAAAACTCTCAGGGACTTTCCTGTGTAGGTTGGCTTTGAACTGCTATCCTCAGATCTCAGCATTGTGAGTAGCTAGGATTATAGGCATGAGCCACGAGCACCTGGTGGAAAGGCATTTTAAAAATAATAATGTGGCCATCATTTAATACAGTAAAGAGTCTTAACATTCAAAAAAGAAATAGAACATACTTTACAAGTACAGGCCTTAACATGGAGCACATGTTATGTTATTCATCTCCTTGTCTTAGGGTTCAACATTTCACCCCAGACCAGGGAAACCTTCATGTTGGGGATCACCCCTTAGAGTGTATGGCCACACTAGTGCAGTTGGTCTGTGACTTAGAACTGGCCAGGGGTACATTAAACCCTCAAAGGAACTGTCCTTCTTGATTCCATAACAAGGTCATGTTCATAACCAGAGTTGACCATGGGAAATTTCCTCAAAGGGTTGATAATAGGTTTGATTTGTGACAAAAAGTATACAAAGTAAAAAATGTTGGGAAATGCACACATAGAATGAAACTCTCAGCTATATGAGGAGCAGAGGTAAGCCTGGACAGACATCATATAGAAAACTAGAAATTAGGGCTGGGAAGTTGGCTCAGTGATAGAGCGCTTGCCTTGCATGCATGTGGTCCTAGGTTCGATTCCTCAGTACCACATAAGCAGAAAAAGCCAGAAGTGGTGCTATGGCTCAAGTGGTAAAGCGCTAGCTTTAAGCTAAAGAGCTGAGGGACAGTGCCCAGGCCTAGAGTTCAAGCCCCATGACTGGCCAAAAAAAAAAAAAAAAAACAACTAGAAATTAGTTTTGGTTACAAAACAGATCAACAAAAAGTCACACACTTGCTAACTTGGAACTTGGTACATACAGTCTACTTTTCCTTTCAGTCACAACTGCCAGAGATCTTTCAAAACTTCTACCTGCTCCTGTTATTCCCTCTGTTAAGAGCTGGCACATGATAGAGCCCTGGGTGATGTGGTCCCATCCTGTTGCTCTAGTTTGATATTTGGCTAGCCTGTCATGTGTGACTCCCAGTGGTGTGACTCCCAGTGTTTCCCATGGAGTCTGCATGGGTCTCCATGGAGCTGCAGCTGCTTCTACTAGCAGCTTCCCTTCATCCTGCAATCAAGGATCTCTCTTCCTATAAGACATTCTGCTACAGGCCATATTTGTGATGTTCTGTCTTGGTCTTCTCCTCAGGTCATGGGTCTCAAAAGATAACGGGGTGAACTGGATCATCTCTGTGACCCATAGTACATGGCTTGTGGTAATGTAGGTACATAGTACCAGTTGTAGCCAGATTCAAATACTCCTTTGTGTCATTGTTACTCCCTGCTTAGCCATATATGAACTTACTCTTTTGTGTGTGTCACTCCCACTTTCTCACCTCTCTTTAAAGAATTTTCATGGCTCGCTTGATGCGCCTTGTATGTAATCCTGATCAGAAGTACCTTGCCTGTTCTTGGCTTTTATACTGCACACTAATGCTTCTGAGGGAAACTTCTCAGCAGGAAGGATCTTAAGAAAGTGCCCTGATCTTGCTGTGATGTGATCAGAAGGAGGTGTGAGGGAAGTTGTGTTTTTAACCATGCCTTAGATTCTAATGTGGGCCCATTGAACTTGTTGTGTCTTAAACTAGAAGTCTCAGCCTTACCCATTCCTGCCTATTTTCTGATGTTTTCAAACAGAAATCCTTTGGTAAACTGCTGAGGCTTTTTGGCAAGGTTTAAAAATAAACTCCAACTCCTGGTGTCTTCCTGTGAATCAATGCTTTCAAGTGGGAAAGGCAAGTGAAAGATAGTGTTCTGGTTTCTGCAATTGAATGCTCGCATCCAGGATCTAAAGGAATAAGAAACTTCACAGTTTCTGTAGAACTTCTACTCTCCTCTGGAAGCTGTCAGGGGAACATTGTGTGGTTTTGATCTCCAGTATAAACACACAGTGTGCTCTGATAACACATGAAGATGTGGGCTGCGGGGACCCCGATCAAATGACACAACCAAAGCTCTCCTGAAAAAAATTGCTTGTGAACGTCTGGCATGTAGGAGAAACTGCGTACCCAGAAACATCCGGCACAATAGGATGCTGCAAGAGGTGAGCAATGCTCTTGACCTTGAGGAGTGGGGGGATGAATGGAAAGGGGATGTGTGGACAGTGATCCTGGGGAAAGGTGGATGGTGGCATGTGCACTGTGTGAAGGAGAGTGCGTGGGAAGATAGTCGTAGCATTCCATCTGAAACCAATAAACCAATCAGCCATCCTTGGCTCCTTGAACTCTGGATCTCTGTAGCTGCCCACTGATTTGTTCCCATTTCCTCCAAAACTCCTAAAAGGAGTTGATTGCGATTCCTCACTCCAGAACCTTCCCTCCTAGTGTCTATTGAGCCCACTCCAGCAAGCAGGCTCTCATCTCCACTGTGCTGTCACTGCCACCAGATTCCTCACCGGATCAAACCCACCCTCAACAAACCTGTCAGTGGTCCCTTATGCACTCTGTGTGTGTGTGTGTGTGAGAGAGAGAGAGAGAGAGAGAGAGAGCGCTCAGATAGGATGCTAGCTCAGCTTTTTCACTCAAGACTGGTGCTCTACCACTTGAGCAATACTCCCTTTCTGGCTTTTTGATGGTTAATTGGATATCTGTCTAGGCTGGCTTCAAACCATGATCTTCAGATCTCAGCCTCCTGAGTAGCTAGGATTATTGAAGTAAGCCACGTGTGTCCTCTGCTTTATTATTATTAGTGTGTGTGTGTGTGTGTGTGGGTGCGCACGCGCGCACATGCGCCAGTCCTGGGGCCAGGATGCGGTCCTTGAGCTTTTTTTGCTCAAGCCTAGTACTCTCCAAGTTGATCCACAGCTCCTTGCTTTTTTTGGTGTTTAATTGGAGGTAAGTGCCTTGCTTTGAGCTGTGATCCTCAGCTGTCAGCCTCCTGAGTAGTAAGGATTACAGGCATGAGGGAAAGGCACCCAGCTACTTAACTCCTTTTAATGGGAAATTCTGAACATACATAAAATTAAACAATAAAAGAAATTCTCCTTTTCACACAGTAGGCACAGGCCAGTTGTTTTAAAACCTGTCATCCCGCCGGGCGCTGGTGGCTCATGCCTGTAATCCTGGTTAGGAGGCTGAGATCTGAGGATCATGGTTCAAAGCCAGCCCAGGCAGGAAAGTGCGTGAGACTCTTATCTCCAATAAACTGCTTGAAAACCGGAAGTGGCACTGTGGCTCAAACAGGAGAGCACTCGCCTTGAGCTGAAGAGCACAAAGAGAGTGCTCAAGCCCAGAGTTCAAGCCCCACAACCGACCAAAAAACAAACAAAAAACCCATCATCCCATGATAAATTATACAGGACTCTAGACATTCACTCAGTGAGAAGAGGATATTCTTAGGAGAGGATCACAAAGGCTCAATAGCTATGTACACATGATCATATAAAATGATACCAAAATGAATTCCATGAAATGGAGATGAGGATTTTTGTTATTTTTGTTTTTTCTCCTTTGTTGCTGTTTTGTTTTTTTGTACCTGTTGTGTATGTATGTTTATCTGTTTTGGAGATGACAAAGGGGGCCA